GATCTGTTAACCTCCTTATTTGTTCACATATTAAAACAATTTTCAACAGCTGTTTACCCAATCTAAATTAAACCATTAAAATCACGTGAATAAAAAAATTCGGATCCATTTATTCATGAGCGCTCCTCATATACGATATATGGACATACGCACATACAGACATACAACACAAAACAGAAGTGTGCACACATAACATACAACACATAAGACAATAGTAAAGGCCTTGTAGCTTTACCTAGGTGAAATCTCCATTGCAATGCTTAAAAACTCCACAGTCAAAAAATAAAACTGATCAGAAAAACATTAACCTAGGTCTGTATGAGCTCAAAAATAAAATAGAACTTTATGATGTGGGAAAAGGCAAATAATAAAATAAATATTGAAAAAAGCATCCTGGTTAATCACTGTCGCAGATGTAAGAATAGCCAAACTGGAGTTCTGGATATCAGCTGTTATGGATTTGAGTCAAATCATCTTCCTTTTGGCCTGTAGAAATTGTTTTAGTTAATCTCTCTGGAATCCAAATCGGCTGCTGTTCTCCCTGTGGAAAAACACAAACAGAACCCCGACTCCAGACAATCACTGGGTCAGGACCTTTCCATTGTCCTGTTAGAATATCCTTCCAAAGTACCTTAGGCTTATGTACATTTTTTGGACACATATGCCTTTCCGCAGCACTAAGCCCTGAGGAATCCAAATTTAAAAAGTTTAGAGTAAAAAGGGTTATTTTAAGTTTATCTTTGGGTGACATATACCCCTTTCCAATTCCCTCTTTTTGCTTTAGTAAGTACATTTTAATAGTTTGATAAGCTCTTTCAACTATGCCTTGTCCCTGTGGATTGTATGGAATTCCTGTTATATGAGTAATGCCAAATGATGAGCAAAATTGTTTAAAAGAGGTAGAAATATAACCAGGACCATTATCTGTTTTTAACTGTTTTGGAACGCCCACAGTGGCAAAATTTTGTAAGCAATGAGCTATAACATCTTTAGTTTTTTCTCCGGAATGAAGGGAGCCCATCAAAAATCCGGAAGAAGTATCAACTGTAACATGCAAATATTTTAATTTTCCAAATTGTGGCAAGTGTGTGACGTCCATCTGCCAAATATGGTTAGGTATCAGTCCTCTAGGATTGACTCCAAGATTAACTTGTGGTAAAAAGGTCACACAATTTTGACATTGTTTTATTATTTGTCTAGCTTGTTCCTTAGTTATTTTAAAACGCTTTTGTAAAGTATTAGCATTGACATGGAACCTTTTATGAAAATGTGTAGCTTCTTCTAGTGTAGAGAAAATATGTATGTCATGTGTAGTTTTATCTGCTAAATCGTTGCCCAAACTAAGGGCTCCAGGCAATCCTGTATGTGCTCTGATATGTCCTATAAAGAATGGATCTTTTCTGTCCCAGATTAGACTTTGTATAGCAGAAAACAAAGAGAAAACAGTAGAGGAAGGGGAAATCCTGCCAGCATCTTCAAGGGATACTATAGCATTAACTACATACTGACTATCAGAGAATAAATTAAATACAGAATCTTTAAACATCACAAAAGCTTGTAAAACTGCATTAAGCTCTACCTTTTGAGCTGATTGTTTGGGTACTAAAAATGTAAAAGTTTGATCAGGGGTAACTACTGCTGCTGTACCATTATTTGACCCATCAGTGAATACATTTGGAGCATTCATGATAGGGGTTTTTCTTGTCATTTTTGGAAAAACTACAGGATGCGAAGACCAGAAAGACAACAAAGGATTAGATGGTAAGTGATTATCAAATGAAACATTAGATTTACACATGATTATTGCCCAAGTATTTAACTCATTAGCTAACTCATCAATTTGATCCATAGTATATGGAGTAATAATTTTATTGGGAGAAATTCCAAACACTCCCTTTGCTGCTTTTATTCCTTTGAGTATTAATTGTCCTACAGCCTCAGGATACCTAGTATTAATAGTGTTAGGAGAATAAGATAAATGTATCCACAATAATGGACCTTCTTGCCAAAATACTCCTGTAGGAATATTTTTTGTTGGTATTACAATAAATAATAAAGGCAAAGTTATATCAATTCTATCCAAATGCATATTTTCCATATATGTTTCAATAATTTTTAATGCCTTTCTTGCTTCAGGCGTTAACATGCGGGGTGAATTTGGATCTGATGGACCTTTTAGGATATCAAATAAAGGTCCCAACTCTCCTGTTGGTATGCCTAGATAAGGCCTTATCCAATTTATGTCTCCTAATAACTTTTGAAAGTCGTTAAGTGATTTGAGTTGATCTACTCGTATTTGAATTTTTGGTGGACGGACCATGGTTGAGGATAATAGAACTCCTAAATAATTAATTGGAAAATTTAATTGTACTTTATCTATTGCTATCTCTAGATTATAATTTTTTAATAAATTTGTAAGTGTGGCATAACATTCTAGCAATGTGTTTTTATCTTTGTGTGCTAACAATACATCATCCATATAGTGAAATATTTGTAGTTTCGGATTTTGATTTCTAAGTGGCTGGATTGCTTTGTTAACATAAATTTGTCACATAGTTGGGCTGTTAGCCATCCCTTGAGGGAGTACTTTCCATTCATATCTCTGATCAGGACCTTCATGATTCAGTGCAGGGATAGTAAATGCAAAATGTGGACTATCCTCAGGATGAATTGGAATTGAAAAAAAACAATCTTTAATATCTATAGCTAAAACGTACCAGGTTTTTGGCAAAGCAGACAATTGAGGAATCCCTGATTGATCAGGTCCCATAATAACCATCTCATTATTAATGGCTCTTAAATCTTGCAATAATCTCCATTTACCAGATTTCTTTTTAATGACAAAAATGGGAGTATTGTAAGGAGATATGGAAGGTTGTATATGTCCCTCCGCTAATTGTTGTTTGACCAGGTCATGGGCTGCTTGTATCTTTTCTTTAGTCAGGGGCCACTGAGGAACCCATACTGGTCTATCTGATTTCCAAGTAATTTTTATTGCCTCAGTGACCCCTTCTGAAAACCCAGTCCATGTCTATTTATTCCCTGATCTATTTGAATTGGTGCTGCTATGCCTTGTTCTCCTAATCTTTTTTCTTTCCTGAAACCTTGTCTAGCCCTAATAGTGGGCGCATTTGGATTGATGTTATTTGTTAATGTCAAACCTAATTGATCTAGGACATCTCGTCCCCATAAATTTATAGGAAGATGATCCAATACATATGGCTGTATAGTTCCTTCACATCCTTCAGGATCCTTCCAATCTAATACCATTGCACTTCTATGGGGATTAGTCGCCACTCCTAGGCCTCGAAGCGTTTGAGTGGCTTGTTGTAACGGCCAATGTTTTGGCCATTCTTGATGAGATATGATGCTAAGGTCTGCACCTGTATCCAGTAGTCCATTAAATTCATGTCCTTGAATATTTAGTTTTAGCATGGGACGAGAATCTAAATTTAAAGACAGCATAGCCCAATCTACACCTGTGGAGCCTAATCCCCTGGAACCTCTTTCTATAGTACTACTGGAAAATTTATCATGTAGGCTGGGTATTATTAATAACTGTGCTATTCTATCTCCTGGTGAAATTACTGATATACCCTTTGGAGAGCTAGCTATAATTTTTATTTCACCTTCATAATCGGGATCAATTACCCCGGGACTTATCATAAGTCCTTTTAGCGTAGAAGAACTGCGTCCTAACAATAAGCCTACTGTTCCTTGGGGAAGAGGTCCTTTTACTCCTGTGGGAATGATTTGAACTCCCATCTCTGGAGTTAGTACTGCTCTGGCGGAGGTGCAGATGTCCAACCCTGCGCTTCCTCTGGTTCGTCTGATGAGAGATCTGATGGATAATGTCTCCTGGGCACTACCCTGATGGTGTTGCTGGGTTCCTCCATGGTGTTTCTGGGTTCCTCCAGTGCCCCGTACATTTGTGGTCGTGGGCCCTGGAGCATTGGGCCCCCCTGTCCGTTTTTTGGCAATGGAGCTCGATGCCTTTCTCCACAATATCGTGGGTAAACACTTGGTCCTTGTCTGTTTTTTGATAATGGAATACCCTCTATGGTGGTTTGAGAACGGCATTCATTAGCCCAATGTTTCCCTCTACGGCATCGTGGGCAAATACCCGGTATTCTATTCGTTTGATATCTAGCTTTGTTAAACCCTCCTCCTATGGGGCAACTCCTTTTAAAATGTCCTGTTTGATCACAATTATAGCATGTTTTTGGCCTGGCATCTAAAGCCTGTTGTACTGCTGCTAAGACTTGCCCTTGTTCATTAATGTCTCTACATAATTTAATATATGTGTTTAAATCTTCATGTCTCCATGGTCTAATGACCTCTCTGCAACAACGATTTGCTTGGTCATAAGCCAGTTGTTTTATAAATGGCATTGCCTGTTCTGTATCCCCAAAAATTCTGGAAACTGCTTGAATAAGCCTATCTACAAATTCAGCGTAAGGTTCATTAGTTCCTTGTATTACCTTAGATAATTGACCTTGTAAACCTCCATGCCCCTGTAAAGTTTTCCATGCCCTAACCGCATCTACAGCAATTTGTGCGTATACGCCAGGATCATATTCAATTTGTTGCCGTTGACCCTCATAAGGTCCTTTTCCTAACAACATATCTAGATTTCTTTGAGGGTAACCGGCTGCTGCATTTCGTCTAGCTGTCTCCCTGCAAAATTCCTCATTGGCAACCTTCCATAACAAATATTGTCCTCCATTTAGCACAGATTTACACATACTAGCCCAATCTGCTGGCGTCATGTCCAAGTTGGTAATGGATTCGACCATGCTTACAGTGAACGGTGCTTGAGGACCATAGGTTGTTACAGCCTCCTTTAACTGCTTCACTGTTTTGAAATCTAAAGCACGGTGAATTCGCTGCCCTCCTGCCTGCTCAAGTACAGGGCATGCTAATCTTTGAGGTCCTGTCTCAGGATCCCATCTATCAACTACGGGGTTTGAGGGCCACTCAGCTATCTCCATAGGGGGAGCTGTTGGTTGAATTACGCCCTCTGGTGATAGAACGGTGTTAGTAGCAGCCTCCTGTTGTAGCTTTTTCCCTAATAGCTGTTTCTCCTCTAAGCTTTCTTCCTTTAAATTTTCTTCCTCTGTCTGACTAGCTTGAGAGACCTTCTCTTTTGCTTGATCTAAAATGTCTTTCTCCATGGTCTGAACCTCTAACAATTTACTTAACACTCTTTCAGTTTGTTTTTTACTAATTTCTAATCTGTTATAAAGATAACGCAACCCAGTAAGATAACACAAAACAAAACTGAAACAGAATGAAACAAAACCGGAACAAAAAATCGTTGTATCAATTTTCCTATTTTCTTGACATGTGCATTTGTGGTCTATTTCTATCTCTTCCTCAGGGGCGAACAACTTCAAACCTTGAGCCAACCATTTTTCCCAATCTGCCTGAGAAAATTCTAGGGATAGGCAGCTTGAAACAAACACAAAACAAATCAAAACAAGAACACATTGTTTTTTAAAATGGTCACCCATTCTCTCGCCTTCCCTTAGGGGCAAGCAATTTCACTTACCCAGAAGCTTCAGACGTTCCCCGAATGGGCCGCCAAATGCCGCAGTCTGGTTGGGCACAAATCATGAGCCACTGAAGCAGGAACAAACTTTATTTTTAAACTGCAGGAAAACACTTCACACAGCTCCCGGGGAATCCTCCCGAACGCGCCAGGAGGCTTGTCCAGGAACCCCCAGCCGGAAATATCTCTCCCGGAAATCCCTCCTCCTGCACTTCCCCAACCAATGGGAACTCTCGGGGAATCCCCGGAAATCCCCATGAGAACAACAAAATAGTGCGAGAACTCAAAAGTTGCGGCAGAGGCGGATAGTAATGCCTCGCCTGTCAATCAATACTGTTGGCAAAATGCCAGGGGCCATACAGACTCGGCCGTGGCTCTCAGCAATATATATATATTTTTTGTATATGACCCTAAAAGCAAAAATAGGCAAGTAGATTAGATGAAACTTAAAAGCTCTCACACAACAGTCAACAGACTGAGTAGACATCCTACAAAATAGGAGATAATATTTGCCAATTATTCATATCACAAAGGATTAAAATTGACAAAGGTAAGGAACAAAGAAAACTTAACAAAAAACACCAGGTAATACAATGAAAATGGGAAAATAATCTTAATAGGCACTTCTCAAAAGAAGAAATATGACTAACCAATAAATATATTTTTAAAATGCTCATTATCATGAGCCACCAGGGGAATGCAAATCAAAAATACCAAGAGATATCATTATGCCCTGATTAAAATGGCTAACATCAAAACACAAAAACAAAAATAAGAAACCAAAATTACCACTGTTGCCATCACAACAAATAACAAATTTTGGAGAGGTGTGCAGAAAAATTAAACCTTATACCTGTTGGTGGAAACGTATATCAGGATAGCCATTTTGGAAAAGAGTATGGAGTTTCCTCAAATTTAAACAGATCTTCCATATAATCCAGGTGTCCTGCCTCTGGTACACAGATGGAAGAAATGAAATCAACATGCAACATACATTCTTGCATGTTGAAAATAATATGACACTATTCATAATAACTATGATATCATATTAAATTATGTGTGAATAAAGAAAATCTGTTACATATATACAATATATTTGTATTCACTCATAAAGAATAAAAAAATCTTGTCATTTGCAGCAAAGAAGAGAGAACTGAAGACCTTTGTAAGTAGGAGGTGAGAAAAAGAAAGACAAGTATTACATGGTCTCTCTTATGTGTGGAAGGTAAAATAGATATGAACCTGAAAGTTGAAGAGTGATTTGTGGAGATGGGGATGTGTGTGTGCTGGTGGTGAGGAGGGTAGGGAGATGGAGAGGATGAATTTTAACAGTATATGCTGCACACATGTGTGCGAATACCATAGTGACTTTCATTAATGTGGACTGATTACATGTTAATAAAAAACACAATAGAATAATCTAAAAACAAACAAACAAAAAATGATGCAAAGAAAGCATAGAGCATTGGGTAAGACTAAAGCTTTCAAGTCATGTACTCCATTGACAGGCTCTTTAAACGTTCCAGCATTCTAAGCTTCGAGAACAAAGATTTATTTCAGCTATGGAGTTAAAGGGTAATTTGGGAAGCCTGGGAATTTCTATGTGTCATTCACTTGTAAAGTCTGATTTTTAGTCTTTCTTTTTAGTTAATTTGAAAGAGAAATTTAAAAATGGAGCAATCGAGATTCAAGCTGAGAATCAGAGACACTGTGAAAAGCACTTCATGGGTTAGTAGAAAAGACAGGGAGAGGTGATTACCATAATCATGATTAATGAGACTATCAAGGAGTGGAAAACCATAGATTAGTATGATTACTAGTTGAAATTGTAGGCACTGGCCTTGGAAGAAACTTTGTGAGAAGTGAGACAGCAAAAGTGACTGGACAACCACAGTCCAATACAGTGAAAGCATACAACACTTGCTTCAGCTCCACAGGGTCTAAAGCAGTTACTTCCACTGTGTCCAATGGACAATGGTGAAGCTGTGGAGTGGGAAACTCAAAAATATGCCATGGGGGAAACTCTGATCTTTAAAATTTTAAGATAATACATCTCTAAACTCTGTGTCTTCATTATGCAGTGATTTGAAAACATTGATAAAGCTTCATTATGCAATGATTTGAAAACACTGATAAAGCACAGGCAGCAAAGATAAACCAACTCGGGCTCTCTGCTTCAAATCATCCCTTCTCCATAAGGACTGAATGGACCAATAATTATAGGTCTGGCTCTTGCTGAAATGTATCCATTAGAAACAGAAAAGAACACTCTGTTAAGGATGGCGATATGATGAATCACTCACTTTTGGTCTTCTTCAACTCCTCTACAAGGCAGCAGGCTTCCTCTTGAACTCAGTGTTTGTCTTCACTATCCCAAAATTCTGCAGAGTCATGAAATGAGAAGTGCTTATCCTTTTTCTTAAATGAGGGGGAGCACAATCTAGGAAGGATATCCCAGTCGGGGTAGAGGACGTTGACTCGTGGTAGCCATAGATTTGGTCAAGCTCAATGTGGCTTTCTCTTTTTCATTCTTCTCCTCCCCATGACCATTGCTCAGCCACCTCACATGCATGCACACTTACCAAGTCCTTCAGTAACTCTGTCAACCACAGGGAAACTGCCTCTTCCAGAAAATACTTCCCCATCAATCAAGGCTTCCTTCACAGTTTCATATCCATGCAACACCACAGTGGGCCTCGTACCCAAATACACATTGAACACAGGGCCATAGGCTTTTGACAACTGGAAAGGAGAAAGAAAGTGCAGATATTAGCTGAAGAAGATCAGCATTTGATCTACACGTTCGGAATGATTCAGACTGTTATTCAGTTTATTATCATTATATTTATTATATATTACAGAGCCATAAGAATCTTCAAATATCTCTGACTTGTGTTCACAAACTGATGGCAATCATAGCTGTCATGTATGTGCCATGCCTGGGTCAGGTGGTTGATATCTACACTATAATTAATCCTCACATTGATGCATTTACTTATTTGTCCTGTTTTACATGCAAAAGAAATGAAGTCAGAGAGTTACAAGCTCATTTGTAGTGTACCATGTCTAATAAACAGAAGAATCAAATTTGAACATTTATTCTTCAACTTCTGAAGTTTAACAACTTATCAGTACCCAGTGCTTATCCACCTTTGCACCAACACCCAGCTGATTTCTTCTGGGTTATTAGCAGGGCATAGAGACTTTCATTGAATAAGCCCACAATGAATACTGGAAGTCTATATTTTTAAAAGTGACTCCAGATGATCTGAAGATTTGTAGGTTGAGACCACAGCTATTACTAACACAGCAAGAGAGTGAGTACCAGAGAGGCAGCACCAGGCCATGCAGCATATCATGGAAGAACAATTTCTCTTGCCCAGCAACAATTCATAAGGTATTGTCTGAACATTTGTGTAAAACCCCCAAAGATTCTGTTACTACCCAGTGGACCCTGAGTGGTTAATTTTTTCCTTTACTCTCTTATGCTTATTCTCAGTTCATAGGTTTCTTATTATTAATTGCTTTATTGAGGAATGATGGAGAAATAAAAACTATACATATTTGTAGTGTAAAACATGACATTGTGATTTATGTAGACAATGCATCCCAGCCCCAAACAATCACCATTCTAGTCTCTATTGCTATGAGTTGGAGGCTTTTTGGTTTGTTTTGTAAGATTCCACATGTAAGTGAGATTACATAGTGAAGAACTTTCTGTGTGTGTGGCTATTTCCCTCATCATAAAGTCCTCCGGCCTCATTCCATATTGTGGTAAGTAGTAGGAGGTCTTATTTTTTTTTTTTTAAGGCTGAACGATATTCTATTTTATGTGTAAATCACATTTGAATTATGCACTCAGCCACTAGTGGCTGCTTAGGTTGGTGTCCTTTCTTGACTATTGCAGATAATGCTGAAGTGAATATGGAGTGTGAACACCTTTTGGACATACTGATTTCATCTCTTTGGCTATATACCAAGAAGTAGGGCTACTGGATCATATGGTAGGTCTATATTTTAATATTTTGAGGAAGCTGAAAATACAGTCATTTCTGTAATGGCTGTACCAATTTACATTTCCATCACGGAATGAGATTTCCTCTTCTCTACATCTTTGCCAACGTCTGCTGTGTTTTGACTTTGATAACAACAATCCTAACAGATGTGAGGTGATATCTCATTGTGATTTTGAATTGTCTTTATATATCTGTTGGCCATTTGCATTTTTTTGGAAAAATATCTACTCATATTCTTTGTCAATTTTTTATTAGTTGAATTCAGTTATACATAATATTTGGATTCATTTTGATTTAATGTGCTCTAATTCAGTCCCCTGTGCTTCCCCTTTCCCTTTCTTCTACTCTACTGATATTCCTTCTATTATTTATAGGTTTTTTTCCCCTTCAAATTAGATTCTTATGGATATACTCAAAGGTAGGTTCAGAGTACTATATTCATATATGTACATAAGAAAGTTTGGTCAGAATTATTTCAGAGTTCTTCACTTTTCCCATGTATTCACTCTCCACTCAGTCTCTTTCCTCCACTAATTTCTTCTATTGTTGTGGAATCTTCCCTTTATTTTTTTCCCTTATTTTGGTCTAGCATCTACATATCAGAGAATACATTCCATCCTCAAGTTTCTGGATCTGGCCTATTTTCATTTAGCATGATGGTCTCCAATTTCATTTATTTTCTACCTTGGCCGTTTTAATAAGATTTTGAAGTTTTGGTTAGTTTGATTTGGTTTTTGTGTTGATATTTATTTGTTTTTGTGTTCCTATATATTTTGGATACTAATCCCTTATTGGTAAGTTGGTTTATAAATATTTTCTTCCCTTCAATAAGTATGTTTTTATTTTCTAGATCATTTCATGTGGAGTGAAGAAATATTTTTAGAATGATATAATCTTACCAGTTTATTTATTTTTTTAACTTTTTTTTTGCTCTTTGGTGTCCAATTCAAAGGAGAAAGAATGAAATAAGCAAAGAAAGAATATATATATATATATATATATATATATATATATATATATATATATATAGAGAGAGAGAGAGAGAGAGAGAGAGAGGGAGAGAGAATATAAGGGAGAGAAGCATGCCAGAGACTGTTTATTGTAGGCTCAAGAATGAGGGTTGGGGCAAATTTGAGTTATGGGTACTAACATATAGACTGGAAAAAATAAGTCCTGGAATTATGTTGTGCAGTAGGGTAGTGATAGACAATGTACTTCTCATTTTCAAAACAGCTAAAAGAAGGGACATTGAGTATTTCATCACTAATAAATGAGAAACATTTGAGGAGATAGGTATTTTTACCTTGATTTGAACTTTACACAAAATACACAGGTATCAAAACATGAAATGGTGCCCCATAAATATGTTTGATTCTTAAGTGTAAATTAAAAAGGGATTGTAAACAAAGCATTGCTAGAACAAAGCTATGGAACATCTTTCCCATGTTTTTTCTACACCTATTAAAATGCTTCTGTGATTCTTGTTCTTCATTCTGTTAACATGATGTATCACATTTATTGATCCATGCATGTTGAATCATTCTTGATTATGGCGGATGATTATTATAATGAGACGGGAAAACAGAAAGCTGTAGGTAAAATGGCTGTGTTCTTCCTAGCATTGGAGAAGATATTTTTGAGCTTTTACACCATGGTGTTGCTGTGGTGGACTCTTAAGTCTCCTGGAACTTTTTTCATTTCTAGTTATTTCTCTTATTGTTGTTCTTGAGCAAAAGGAAATGAAGAATATTGTACTTCACCATCTTACTGACAGTCTATCTCATAGGTATTTCTTAACATGAGGTACAGCCTTTTCTTCAGAGAAACTTAATTTTGATTGCTATAAAAATACTTAAAATTCATGCATCAGATCATTCTTTTAATGAACTAATTGCACTTTCAGTACAGTTAAACTCCAGGCAAAAAAAAAAAAAAAAAAAAAAATAACAGCAAATGACCAAAACTAAATCACAAGTACCAAAACTTCCAATTTAGAAGTCTGCACCATTCTCACTACAGAATTTACAATTTGTCAGCACTCCTCAGTGTATCTCACCCTACCCTGAGAGAATGGAAATTGAGAGCTACTACAACCAGATTGGGCTCCTATTCACAATGTCTGACAGCTAGCTAAGTGAAGAATGCAAAGAAGATTGGCTTAATGATACTCAAACCTTAATCCTTGATTTCTGAAGCAAAAAATAAATACGAAGAATGAAAATCCATCTCTGTCAACAGTTTCCTCAGTGGAAAGAAGCCATTTATTTCTCATGAATATTTTTACATTTTTACTCCATGTTCGCTCCATTTAAAAATATATTGTTTGCTTTATGTTTTAAAATTAAAGAACTCAAAAAACATAATAATAATAATAATAATAATAATAATAATAATAATAATCCAATCAATAAATGGGAAAAGAAACTGAATAGGTACTTCATAGAAGAAAACGGAATGCTCAAAAAATATGAAAAATCTTCCATATAATTTTATTGCTTAATTTTGAAGAGCAAACTAAAACTACACTGAGATTCCATCTCACTCCAGTCAGAATGGCAATTAGTAAGAACACTGGTGAGGATATGGGGGGAATACATTGGTGTTGGTACTGCAAATTAGTGCAACCACTCTGGAAAGCAGTTTTTCTTTAAAAAATTGAAATGGAACCACCATTTAGTTCAGTTATCCCACTCCTCACATTATACCCAGAGCACTTGAAATCTGCATACTATAGTGACACAGCCACGTCAATGTGTATGGATAGGAGCTCTATTTACAATAACCAAGCTATAGAACCAACCTAGGTGTCCTTCAACAGATAACTGAATAAAGAAAATGTGGGATATATGCACAATGATTCGAACATTCCTCAGCCATAAAACAGAATAACATTTGCCAGTAAATAGATGGAATTGTAAAATATCATGCTAAGTGAGATAAGTCAGTACCAAAAAACCAAAGACCAAATATTCTCTCTGATATATGCAAACTAATCCATAACAAGGAAGGGTAGAGAGAAGAAGAATAGAAGTTCACTGGATTAGACAAAGAGGAATAAAGGGAAAGGATGGGGATGTGTATAAAAAAGACAGTAGAATTAATCAGACATAACTTTTCTTTGCTTATAAATGAACATAAAACCAGTATAACTCCACATTATGTACAACCACAAGAATGGGATTCTTAATTGGAATGGGATGTACTCCATATATGTATAATAAATCAAAATACACTCTACTGTCATGTGCATTTAAAAACAAATTTAAAAACTTTAATTTTTTCAAATATCATTTTATTGTTTTTTATTATTTTTAAATTCTTTCCATTGTGCCAGATTTGTGTGTGTGTCTGTGAGGGTGTATATGTGTTTGTATGCATGTGAGTATTTTCACAGCCCAAATAGGTTTGATATATGTATATATTCACATAGTTTTGCTTTAACTTTAACTGTTTTCTTTGGTACCTGTTTATTATTTAGCATTGGTTTCAGTAGGACTGAAATATTCATACATGGATTTGAATTTGATCTTACATTTGCTTGTTTGCTGTACCTTGGATTTTGTTCGTCTTATTTCCCCTTCATCACTCTCTTCTCCAAATAACAATCAAATTTTCCTATTCTCTTTTCATCTTTTTAATTGGTAAATTACTTTCAGTTAATTTTTTATTTCTTTCTTTATATTCAACATTTGTGATCTATCTTCTGCCTCTCCTGTCTTCACTTTTTAAAACATTTCAAATTTTTTCTAACCTTTCGACTCTGTTTTCTTTTCAGAAAAGAAACTGTAATTTCATTAAATACAAAATTATACAGTTTATGGAATTTGTACCTCATTCATGTTGTTATGATTATTAATACAGCTGGCAATGTAGTAGACCCCTGCTGTCTAATAGTGATTTGAACATTTACCTTAAGACTATATGACTGTTGATAACAATAGTGCTGTTCCTGGCTCACCGCTTCCTGGAATTGGGGTTGGAAAGTGAGTGGGTCATTTCAGGTTCACAGACATCCTGCTCCCAAGCAATTCTCACAACTCAGCCCAGTAATAACAAATCTCACCTCATACATGTAGTAGCTGCACCTCAGCCTCAAAATTACTTCAACACATAGAAATAAGGAGGAGAAACCTCAAGCCAACCACCAGGCCCCAAAGAGGATCAACCAGAGGGGGCCCTTAGGTCACACCCCTGAATCTACTCATATATGAAAAATACAGAGAAATCCCCAAATGAAAGAAATAACTCCATACAAAAGAACATAGTTATAAAACAGAAAGGGGAATCCTTTTCAATTGTGCAAGTTGAAAGCCTCTGAAAACAAGAAAACAAACAAATCTGCCCCCAAACTCATAACCCCCCAGCACAGAATCCCATATAAGAACACAACATCTGGTAGTCCCCACGTACAGATAGGATTAAGAAAAAAAATGAAGAATTTATCCAAAACATAGCTCAACATGCTGGATTCTCAGACTGGATGGAAATTCATGACTTAGGCGAAAAAGTGTATCTCTGAATTTCATATAAAATTATTAAACTTCTGATATTTCATCAAACAATAAGATAGTTTGTCTTTGAAAGTCAAGCCTCTTAAATATTTTAAAATGTTGACCTAACGTCACAAGTGACTAAGCATAAACTAGGGAGTACAATATAAACATTTTGAAATACCAAACACACATCATGACATAACTAAATGAAAGTACATAACATTTGCTATTTAGCACTCCACTCCCACCCCCACCCCCCAAATTCTGGGGAACAGAGGGCAGAGTTTCTTATTTTTTATTTGTCAAATAGGGAAACAGAGATTCTGTGAGCATGGGAGACTTTCATTCACATAGCTCACAGGGGTCCGAACTGGAATTTGAATGAGCTCCAATGCCCATAATGGTGAGCTATGGCTTACATCAGAGCTGCCTCCAAAGCTACCTTAGAAGAGTAAAGCAAACACTACACTGACTCTGTTCCTAGACCAACAAGCTTCCCATCAAATCAATACCCATTATTTCACTCCAAGGATAACTGGGTCATAGATTCCATAAAAGAAAGAGGCACAGAAGAGCTTCTCCCGCTCCATCAGTACATAGGTAAAACTTACTCAGCAGAACTTACTCAGCAGAACTGAGGAAGAGACAATCTAAGAGATATGAAGGGAGAGGCTTGAGAAACTATGGCTCTGCCAATCTCTCACCTCTTCCAGATGTGACTGCTTTTCTTGCTGATTAGAATGTGTTTAGATGTTATGGAATGAAAAATATCAGACCATAAACAATAATACTGGAGACAGAAAAAGAGGCAGGTGTTTTAGAGGTAGATAGGAGGCAGACAGTATACTGAACAGACTCCCAGCACCCAAGAAACAATATGCAAGCTGGTATATGAGACTACTGTATTTGGAAGTTGTGAACTGAATTGCATGTCATTGGATAGATGTAAATTACCAGATCACTAATGGTAATGCTGTAGAAATAAATATGTGTCCTATAAAGATATTGTGGTGTTTGTTTTAAATTGGAGAACATTGTTATTCACAATGTATTTAGTAAGGAAAATTGCTGTCAAGATCCCAGATATATAATATTTCATGCTCATGTGTACAGGTATTCTCAAAATAAGCATGTAATTTCATACATATCACTTTTGATTTTCTTAATTGCCTTTAACTAAAGTGAAATTATTTCCATTTAAGAAATGATGAAGCTGGGCCTCAGAGATGCAATGACTTGGCCAAGGGCACACAGACTGCACATTGCCACAGTCTGGCTGGGCACAAATCACGAGCCACTCAAGCAGGAACAAACTTTATTTCCAAACTCCACCAGCACACTCCCCGGGAACTCTCCGGAACGCCACCCATGCAGCTCCTCCAGGAACACCCCACAGGGTAATAACTCCAACAAAGGAAAAAGCCCACCAATCCTTTATTTAAAGGGAAGCACATCAAAGAGATTTATTGTCAGGAAGGCTTTTTCAAGGGAGACATAGTCAGCAGGAGCAGACTAATTGGGGCGTATCTACTTGTGTGATATTTTCATCTTGCTTCAGATACCTGGCACCTCATGGCTGTTCAGCATGCCTATATTTCTTTCACACTATGGCTGCAGGCATCTGAAGCAGTAGAACTTATAAATCCCACACAAGACACAGAATCTTTGTCATTAAGAGTGGCCACCTGCAAATGAGCATGTCTTTTAGCACTGTTGTATGAGATAAACCCAAAAGGGCAGTCTAGTTGTCCACGGTGAAAAAGTTCAAAGCAATGATTCATTTGCCACTGCCAACAATGTTTTTAACATCCTTTACATTACTTAGTTTATATAATTTCTCTCCCCACTATATATGCTGTCATAGTTATGAATACTGTGTATTCCATAATTGATACCTGGAGTTTATTTTAATGCTATCTCTAGTTCACAGTTATTTGTTGTTGCTGTTATTAATAGCTGACTTCAATATGCCTGTTTGTGTGGTTATTAGTGCCATAGATGTTATACTAGGGACTGTTTTTTAAAATGCTTAATATTGTTTGTTGCTCTTGTTATTCTTTCATTTTCTTTTTTTTTAATTAAATTATTTATTTATTCTAATTTGTTATGTACAATGGCAGAATGCGATTCATTTCATAATACACATATAGAGCACGATTTTTCAAGTCACTGATTGTCGCGACCCCTTGCCCGCAAGGAAGACGCAACTCGAGAATCTTCTTTCAACAGTTTATTCAGGCCCTGGATAGTTCTTCTTCTCCCTCTCGGATGCCCCTCCCAGCCTTAATAAAGCATCCCAAGCCCCAATGCAAAGCTGCCGCGTGGAGCTTTCTCACAGGGTGGTGAAAAATCATGTGCCAACTTTCCCAGATAAGAAGTTGTTTGTCACAGACCACAGCGGAGCCAGCGTCATCTTGTAATGGCGACCATAATCTGCAGAAACGGCAGAAGCAGCTCACCACAACTGATTGTACACAAAGTATTTTCACATCATTTGTGTCTTCAGACATGTATTTAGGGTAATGATGTCTAACTCATTCCAGCATCATTGCTACCCCTGTTCCCCCTCCCTTCTCCTTCCTCCCCTTTGCCCTATCTAAAGTCCCTCCATTCCTTCCATGCTCCCTCCCCCATTGCCATTATTAGTCAGCATCCTCATATCAAAGAAAACATTAAGCCCTTGTTTTTTGGGGATTGGCTTTCTTCACTTAGCATTATATTCTCCAACTCCCTCCATTTACCAGCAAATGCCATGATTTTATTCTCTTGTAATGCTGAGTAATGTTCCATTGTGTATATACACCAAAGTTTCCCTATCCATTAATCTACTGAAGGGCATCTGGGTTGGTTCCACAATTTAGCTTTTGTGAATTGAAGTTGCTATAAACATTGATATGGCTGTATATCTGCAATATTCTATTTTTAAGTCCTTTGGGTATTCTTCCATTTTTCTATGTGGTGCTGAAAATCTAGTATGAGATCACAAATTTCCATAGTAGGTACTGTGCTGCTGAGATAAGCCCCCAAGCAACTAAGAGAATGCACTTTGTTGCACACACAACCTAACCCCACTCGAATTTCAGCAAAATTGTAACAAAAAGAATAGGGAAAAAATCCCAAACTGATGGCCAGGTCCCAAGTAGAAATGGTTAGGACAAGCCTCAGGTCCTACTAATGGTCCCCTGCTCCCACAGCAACAGAAAAGAAAAATAACAAAAAGACCATGGATATCAAATCCACAGAGGGCCTCTAGTTAGATTACTCCCATGCCCTTTTGGCTTTTAGAGAATACAGAGTTTTCAAGTCTAAAAGAGCAATAACAGATGGTGTATCCCAGATACTAAGCTGTACACAACACAATTGCCTGACCTACTAGAAAGACCCAGATCTTGTGAGATAAAGAAAGTGGCAAAGTGGCATCCTCATGTTCTAACAACAACTACATATATATGTATATATATATATATATATATATATATATATATATATATATATATATATACCAAATATATCCTGATATTCCAGAACACTTCATCAAAAAATGGCCCTAAAAAGGCCTAAAAAGGAAAAGAATTGCCAACTAAGATTGATACATCAGGCAGAATTATCCTTCAGAATTGAAGGAGATATTTTAAAAAAAAAACAACTTTCAAAGTGAGCAGAAAGCAAAACAATTGATGAGTTCTAGGCCAGCACATCAGAAAAGACTTAAAGCAAATAGAAGTCATTATATACAAACTTTAGAATGAGTGAATGGTTGAATCTCATTTAAGAAAATAGCTAATCAAATGGGAAATATGAGAAAATTAAACATTAGAAACATATCAAAATGACAGGAATTAATAAACATTTATGCATAATAACACTGAATGTAAATGGTTTTAATTTTCCAAATTAAAAAAAAGAATGAACTAAAAAATAGCTATATGTTGCTTGCAAGACACTCATAGTCAACCAGAGCCATAAGCTAAAATTGAAAGAATGGGAAAATGATATTTCATTCAAATGGAGTCCCACAACGAGTATGTATTTTCATATCGACAAAACAAGCATCGATTTAATTAATCAAAAGAGAAAAAGAATGTCAATTTATACTGTAGGGAACAACCCCAAAAGAAGATAAAACAGTAGCAAAAGTTTATTCCTCAAATGTCAGTCCTCCTAGTTATGCACAACTAAAGTACTTGACTTAAAAGACTCAGATAGACCCCCATATAATAATAGTGGTGATTTTAACACATCTCTCCCACCAATAGATAAGGCATCCAGACATAAACTCATTAAGGAGGCTTCAGACCTATAAATATTATAAATCAAATGGACTAAGGAGACATCTATCATATACAAAATCCAGCTAAATTAACTTTTTCTCCAGCTGTTCATGTAACATTCTCCAAAAGAGACCATATTTTTGGATACAAAGGAAGAACTACCAACACAAGAAACCTATAAATTTCTTGAATCCCAGATGGAATGAATTGGAAATCAACAGCCAGATCATAATGGAATGAAGTTAGCAATCAACAGTAAGAAAAACTTTACAAATAGAAATACTTGTTGATTAAACAATACACTTTTGAATGATGAGTGGGAGATAGAAGAAGTCAGGATAAAAATATAAATTCCTCTATTTAAACAATAATTGACATATAACATCATCTCTGAGACACTTTGATTTTTTAGACTTTTTAGAGGGAAGTCTATCATTGTCTACATAAAAAAATTAGAGAATTTCAAATGAATTACAAGGACTTAGAAAAATAGGAGGAATTCATTTCCAAAACAATCAGAAGAACAGAAATCATTTAGTTCAGAGCTAAAATTAATGTAATAGACAATAAAAATACAAAAAATCAAGGTAATTAAGAGTGGTCTTTTGAATAGAGAAACAAGATAAAGAAAACCTAAGTGATCCTAGAAACACAGAGAGACCCAAATTCATAAAATTAGAGATGAAAATGGTGATGTCCTCACAGATATTACTGAAATCTGGAGGATCATTAGAGACTACTATGAAATCTTATATTCTGGTAAATTGAAACATCTAGAAGAAATGGACATTGTAGGCACAGTTGACCTACCAAAATTGATTCCTGAGTATCTAGAAACCAAAACAAATTAATGACAAGCAATGAAATTAAGCAGGAATAAAAAGACTTTCAACAAAGACAATGCCAGTTTCAGATGGATGCTCAGCTGAATTCTACCACATCTTTAAAGAAGATCTAATGCTAATGTTCCTCAAATTACTCCATGAAATAAAAGGGGGTGAAATATTTCCAAATTCACTCTTGTGAAGCCCGAATGATGGTAATACTAAAACCAGATAAGAATACATCTAGGAAATAAAACTAGAGACCAATATCCCTGATAAATATAGGTGCAAATTTCCTTAATAAAATATCAGCTAATTATATTCACAAATACATTAAGAAGTTTGTACACCATGATTTATTTGTTTTTTTCTAAAGATAAAGATGGTTCAGCATAAGCAAATCAATACATATAATTAATCACAAATAGAATTAAGAAACAAAATTACATGAATATCTCAATAGATGCAGAAAAATTTTTTTAAAAATTTATCATTCATTCCTAATAAAAATTGAAGAAACTAAGAACAGGCAAAGAGAGCCTACAGAACTGCAGAAAATTTTTGCCAAGTATTCTTTTAAAAAAATATTATTTTTGTTATATTTTTGTAACTTTACTTATTCTTTTTTAGATATACATGACAGTAGATTACGTTTTGTATTTTGCATTATGACAGTCTATTTTGAAACGTTATACATACATAGGTGTATCTTATTATAATTGAGATCCCATTCTTGTTGTTGTATATTGTGCTCTTCAACAGGATTCATATCTGGAGTATATAAAGAATTAAAAAGCTTAACACCAAAAACAAGAGCACCCAAACCACCAAAACTTCAAGAACTAAACAGATATATTTCAAAAGAAGGAATGCGAATAGCTTGGCCAACAACTACATAAAAAAATGTTCAATATTGTTAGCAACCAGGAAAATGCACATCAAAACTCCACTGAGTTCGAAGATGGCCGCTGCGTACGGGGGTTGCTGAAGTGCTGAGCGTGGTGCTCAAAGCAGCGGCTTTAATAGAGATTTCGCACAGTCTGTTAAAGCTCCTTTCACCGTTAATCTGTAGTAGACCACTTTGCCAAGGAGCAGGAAGAACAAAGAAATCGAAAAAGAGACGCTTGGCTGCACAGAGCCGCGGGCGCTTTGCTCCCATCTGCTTCCTCTTTCACTTCGCTCCGGGCGGAGAAGCTGAATGTGTAATCAGCAGTGGATTGTAAGTACCCAAGGCAAAGAAAGCTCAGTGCGCCCCGCCTTTTTTTTTTTTTTCTTTTTTGAATATTTTTTATACAGAGAGAGTTTGTGGATTGGGATTGCTGGCGGGGCTGTGGTTTCTGTGCCGAAAATCCACTCCGCGGGAGCTGCCATTTGCTTTCTGCTTGCTGTCTTGATGGCTCTGTATACACTGTCCGGCAGCCGCACCTAGAGGTTGGAGCTGGGCTGCGTGCCGAGCCCTGTCCTCCGAAGGCTGGACTGCAGCCTCGAGCGTCTCTGTGGCCTGTTCGCCGCTGCACCTTCGGGCAGAGCCTGCTCTGGGGTCGTTCTGCACCCCCCTGCCAGGGGACCCGTGCTCCGGAGGAGGGGGACGGAGAGCCGCGGGGGCAGCCGCTTGGGCCCCTGGGGCCTGGCACCGGGCTGAAGAGCTGCGGAGGCCAGGGCGGCTCTGCTACGGTCGCAGACAAGCGCGGACGCTCGTCAGCGCGGCCCAGAGTTTCATTTCTAGAAATCTGGACTGGAAACAGAAACAGCAGTTTGTATAATCCCAAGAACTTGCTTATACCAGGAAGCTGTAAGGGCAACATGAATATTACTGAGGAGATGTAACATGGTGGCAGGCGCAGAGAGATCAAGTCTCTGACATCTTCAACTGCGCGGGCATAGGGAGCCGTAAACTGTCTAAATGCTGTTTGCTCAGGATCACTAGGCAATGCTGAGCTGACGTGGATCTGGGGTGTACAGGCTGGGCCCCTCAGAACACACACACAGAGCCCGAATCGGAGGC